AAAAAGCTACTGCTATAGATATGCATTTATATTGTACATACCCTATGTTAAGTTTAGGCTATGTCTACACAGCAGCATTATTTCGCAATACCTGATATTATTCCGAAATAACAAAGAGCAGGTCTACACGACAAGCCTTTATTTCAAAATAATGTTGAGCTGGAGTACTTCTTACTCTGACCCTTGGTAACCCTCATTTCATGAGGAATACCCAGGTTCAAGAAAGGGTCTAAAATGACAGCATGATGGATAAAGATGATCTAATCAAACCACGAGGTACAGGGTGATGGGTGATATCTAAGTAGCGTCAGAGGGCGGTAACCTGACAGCATCAGATGTGAATCAGGCATATATTATCGTCTTCCTTTTATTACTAAAAATGATAGCATGCTTTATGGGAGATAATTTTTTCTTATTTTGTGATATAACTAATTGTTATAAAGAACTAAGTTTGTAATTGTAGCTGTTGTGAGTTTGAAGTGCAAATTACTTTCTGATTTTATTAACAACAAATTGTGAAAGGTTTTTTTTGGTTTGAGTTTCTAGCTTTAAGGGAAATACACTTTACTTTTAATATATTTAGAGTTTTGACTCTTGAAGAGTACTTGCCTCCTTTTCTTCCACCATGCCACTCTAAACAAGATGTTGTTTATTACCAGAAACATTATATGTAAGTCCCAAGAATATGTTAAATATGATTGAAGTTTTGGCAGACTTTGAGCAACTGAAGTTTCCAGAAATTTTGCTATGTTTAAAAACCAAAAGCATGCTTTAAGGAAAGATTTCTACTTCCAAATGTGTGGTTGCCCAAACCTTTTGCATTTTCAAGTCAGATTCCTCTGCCAAATAACACACACTGTACCTTAACTATAATATAAAAGCATAGACTGTGTTTAAAAAAACATTGCAGGAGCAGCTATGATCATATTTCTTAAATTTATTCTATTCATATGCACAAACGTGCATTTTATAGTAAGCTTTCGATTGCACTGGTCACTTACACTAGTAGAAAATGACATGTACAGACACAAGGTTGGCATAGTGTAAGAAACCAAACTGGTAAAGTACAGGAATCCTGAGCCAGACCAAAATATGAGGTCAAGGAAGCTGTTCTTATAATAATAGTGGGTATCTGTTTAATGTGTGATCTGGCAGTGACATGTTGTTGACCATAAGCAATTATGCATGTTTCTAAACTGGCTCTGTATAAGCCCAAAGTAACTGTAGGCAAGGCAAGCTGTGAGAACTGGGCACTCAATACACTTTTATTATTCTTTTTACTTGATTTAATCAACTAACCTGTACAATAGTGACTACCAATTCTGCTGATTTTTGAAAAATCCCTATTTCATTCATTATGTCAGTTACACACATTAAAAACAGTAACAGAGACTCTTATGAAGCAAATTTTGTCTTACCTAACATATACAAAGTGCAACTGTGGTCCATCTGTGTTAAGCACCTGATTTTAGTAGTTGTCTTGAGTATTTTTAAAAGGTATTAAAGATGTTAATAGAACATGAACATTCCTGGCCATTGAAATTAACTGTAATATGTTTATCTGAGAGATGGTGGCTATGTCTAGACTGCAGGCTTCTTTTGGAAGAACTTTTTTCAGAAGAGATCTTCCAAAAAAGCTTCTTCTGAAGGAGCGCATCCATACACAAAAGCGCATCAAAAAAGCTATCTGCTTTTCTGAAAGATAGCGTCAACATTGGATGGATTCTACCTCGCATTTAAGTTGTGATTACTATTGGCAGAGTGGTCACCAGAGCACCTGTGCTTTTTCCTCTTTCTTCTTCTTTCAAAAGAACTCCCTCTTCCCCGTCCACACATGCCTTTTTCCAAAAGAGCTCTTTTGGGGAGTTATTCCTGATACACAATGGCTTAGATGGGATCAGAATCAGGCCTCTAGCCTAATCTTAATGATAAAATTTGTTACAGTTTTGAGAAAAAATAAAGTAGTTGTTTTTTAAAAAATGATTACCATCATGTTACTCTTCAGAGGGGAGGTAAAAATGCATAGTGTGTTCATTTTGGTAAGGAAATGTATATTGCAACAATTTCCAGATCCTATTTATTCTCAAGGATGTTTATGTATTCATGCTGAAAATGTGATAACAGACCGTGTAAGGATATATAATATTAGAGAAGGAGAAAATGACTATTATAGTACTTCCTACTCTCAGTTTCTTCTACAGTAATGCCCTTACACCTTTCTTTTTCAGGCTTTCTGTAGCATCCTAAACAGAAGGATATTGAAGGGAGCTGATTCTGCTTTGATCCTTATGCTTGTTGTCAAAGCGCTTGGGATTGAAGAGACTGTTGGCTACAATTGACTGTGACAATTAGGAGATGATCAGAGCCCTAGAGTGGAGCACTTAAAGGGTAATTTACATGTCAGTTTGTCGAATAAAAAAAAAGATATTCAGCTAAGATTTTTTTCCCCCCTCAGAGCCTTGTAAACTGCAATTTGTGCTCTGGTAAGAAAAACCTGGCAGAGGAGTTAGGATAGCCATTTCCATTTGAAAAGAGGCAATCATAAGGCCACTGCTGAGCCTATTGTCCACTAAAAATGCTGATTTGCAGTCAGAGAGTGAAAGAGTGGAACCATTCCTAAATAGAACCTTGTGCAAGGTAACTCCCCCTTGGTGGCTTTTTAATGTTGGGTAAAGGTTTTATATACCTTAAATCCTACATTTACTGTCATTATAACATTGTTATGAATGTCCTTTATCATAACAAAAAATGAATGTATTGAGGGGGAAGTAGGTGAAATGCTAGCTAACAGCAAGTTGATAGATTAAACCTGGATATCTGTTGTATCAGATCTTTCTTATTCTCCTGTCTTTTGTATGGCATCACAATTTTCCTGTAGCCCTTTGCACTTTGCCATTCAACTCCTTCCATAACAGTTCTCTCATTGGTTTTCCATACTTGTTTACACTCTATTTTACTCATGTTCCCTGCAGGTTATTAACATTTTCCATGTTTAACCTTGTGGGATAAGTAAAGTGGGAGGGAAATGACATGAGCAGGCTTAATCCAGAATTTACTGATCTTCTAACTATTCTATGATGACTTATTTATAATAAATATTGGGTATGTACAGTACAGTAAAAATAGAAAAATAGTTGATTATTAAATAAACTTGCCAGCAATTAATTTTTTCTCAAGTCTGATATATCTCGAGATGCTTTGATTGTATGGTTGTATGGTCTTTATCATGTAAAAATCACAGCTACTCTGGTGGTTCTGGGCTACAGCATATGTTATATTAACAACCATTTAGGGAAAAGATATAAAGGGATTTACATAACCCTCAAATGTTTGTATGTGTAAATGTATGTATAATAAGCTTTTTTCCCAGAGATGGCACTAAGTCTGGTTTTATGGTGGATATCCCTAAAAGAAGATATAGTAATATATAAAATGGCAGTTTTTTGTTATGAGTTAAAATCTTTACTTTATTATATTTTTTTACTTACCCTGCCATTTGCTTTAAAGTGCTAAGTGGTATTACCATTAAAACCTAGAGGCTACTCTTTTGAGAAAGTTCTGTTGTTTTCAACAAATCCCAAATATAAAAATGCCTAGTTCTTACCTCCTGAACATGGGTGTAACTCCATTGACTTGACTAGACTTCTGATTTCTGCTGTTGTGAGATAAGAATTGGGCCACAGATCTCTGTAGGGTTATCCGAATGCCCTTTGTTGTATTCTCTACATCCTTAGTCATTGAATGTGTTAAACACCAAACAATGAAGCTTTTATTACTAAATTTGTACTTGCAACATTTTTAAAGTGACTTTTGTATTTTGTATAGAAATCTTCTGAAATTCATTCGAAGTTGAATGGAGGAATGTGAGCCCCCCTCTCTCCAGTTTTCATTTAGAAATGTATGGGTTTTCTCTCTCTCTCTCTCTCTCTCTTATATTTTTAGCACAAATTTGCTTGTTTGGAGAATTGTTCAGTTTCATGGAGGAAAAATAATATGTAATACAAGCTGAAGATGATGTCTTCTGCTCTTACCGCCCCCCTTCTCCCGTTTAAACTTCCTGAATGCCCAAGTTTTCACATGTTCGTGTCTTTCTAACAAAGAAAGATACATAAAGAACAAATGAATAAAAGAAGATATTAAGGGCAAACAGTATAATGACGGAGGGAGTCTGGGATGTCTTTGGCTTAGCATGTATCTGCAAAATCAAGGCAGTCGTAAATCTGTATCAAAAATCAGGCACAGCAGGAGGTGTTCGTCTCCCAGGTAATGGCTAAATGACGAGCAGATGAGCCGTCGTCATATTGATTTAAGCATTTTGTTCCAGCCAGTCACAATTAACTTTGATTTGTTTTTACTTTCCTCTTACAGGTTTGCATTTAAAGCACTCTCAGAGCACTAATTGTATAAAATTCTAGTAACTGCACATTCTCTGGCTAGAGAGGTAATGAATGAATGAATGAATGAATGAATAGGCAGGAATTATTTGAGATTCTAAGCAGGGTTTCTCACTACACTTCTAGCTCTGACTGAAATTGTTTCTGAAGATGAGCAGGAAGGACGACAAAAGTTATACCCAATGGGAAATAGCTGTTAGAAATCCCTTATTTTAGGAATATGGGTCTTTGCTAAAGAATTCAACAGGAGTGTGTTGGGATGCAAGATTAATTAGGACTTCATTAAATCCTTTTTTTTCTTTGAAAAAAGTATAAGGTTGACAGTGTACACCAAATGAGTCTAATCCCTGAAAAATGCATTTTACAATGTCCATAGTCTAATTCTTCTACTGCAAAAGCATCTCAAAAGCCTGAAAGGCTCAAAGTGCAGTTAAGGGATGCATCAAGACATACATTTTTCTTCATCTAGGTCAGATCTACATGTAGCTTTTGTACCAATTTAACTTAAAAAATAGTTATGTATATATACATCTACACTTATACCAGCATAATGGTACCTTATAATGACGTAACTTAGTTCCCTAAATTTACGGTAATACAAAGTACCTTTTAACCAACAGAACTATCTCTGCTTTATGGAGTTGCACTACTTTATGCAGGGATATAATATGCTTATCGGGTAGTCAAGTAGTGACTCGACTAGTTGTTCCCTGCTGCCTCTATCAACGAGAGGCACTGTGTGTGGGGGGGAGGGAGCAGGAGTTG